TCCATTATTTGCTAGGGCCGTATCAGACTGAAATGTGCATACGCATCAGTGTAGGTGTTCAGGATCTCCTGTAGGTCTCGTTAAATGTGAGGACATGGGTGAGGTAGTCTGCATACTGAAGTTCAGTAATGGAAGCGGCCGACACCTTTGATCCTGCCTGGAGTCGTCTTATGTGGAAAAGAACCTTCATCCAGCACCGGATGTCCACCCCGCCAGCTAAACTGGCACTGGCATGTGTAAGGAAGGAAGTCAAGAAAATGGAAAAAAGAGTTAGTGACAGTACACATCCTTGTTTTACCCCCCGTTTGGATGGGGAAGAACTCGGACTGCGTGCCAATATGCAGGACACTGACGTTCATGCCATCGTGGAGTTACATCACAATGGCAATGAATTTTGGTGGACAGCCAAAACAGTTGAAATCTGCCAAAGTGCTTCCCTGTTGACCGAGTCGAAGGCCTTAGTTAGGTCGATGAAGGCCATGTACAGTTCACGACGATGTTTTCTGCACTTTTCCTGAGTACATTGATTTCAAGGTTATTTTCATCACACCAGTCTTGGTGTATTCTTTCGATTTGGCTAAGGGTCTCTCTGCAGGTTTTTGTCATGACAGTGTCGAGAACACACACACACACACACACACACACACACACACACACACACACACACACACACCCTTGACCACCGTAGAGTCGAGACCTATTCAGGCGCTGCTCCTGTTGAGCAGCTGCCTCCCTTGGCCAATGTTCGGCCCACTTCCCAAGTCCCTCTCCCCGACCCATCCTCACCACCAGGATATCAACACAATCAAAAGTGACAATTTCGTTTCGGAAAGACGTGGGACCAGTGTTGAACATTGATGAACAGTGTTTAATGCCAGTGAATTCAGCACTAGACAGTACCAGTGAGAGCCATTACCCACCAGTGGGATAGGCACCCCTGGGAACTGACCGCCTTCTTCTGACCAGGAGGTGCTAATCAGTCCACCATGGGAACAACAGAGGGCTGGCCAGTTATGCACCTGACTACGAGAAAACACAACACCACCCAGCAGGGCGAGGTACTATGAAACCACCCAGTGTCCCCATGACCATCTGAGGTCCTTCATATCAACACCCGAGGACGAGTTACTGCACCACGTGAACACCACACCACCCGGTGTCTCCATGACCACGTGAGGTCCTTCGTATCAACACCCGAGGACGTGTTACTGCACCAGGTGAACACCACACCACCCAGAGGGGGCAGTTCAAAAGATATCGACGTCTTTAAACTGCTAGGAGAACATATGAGCACGGGGATGGAGGAGACTGCAGTGGGAGCGGGTAAACAAAGTGAAAGATTACAGGGAAATAGTGTTAGGAATGATGACAAAACTAAATTAGACAGGGAGTTTAAAACTAAACGTGGTAAGGGGAGGACTCAGAACACGACTAACTTAAATGTATACTATGCGAACAGAAGAAGTATGAGAAACAAAATGGATGATATTAGGGCCTTGGTATGTACTGAAAAAATCGATATAATAGCATTCGCTGAAACATGGATCAACCTAGACACACGTGAGTTACCGGTCGAATACCAAATTGCGGGTTACAAACTGTTCCATACCGATAGGCAGACCAGGAAAGGAGGCGGAGTAGCAATCTATGTTAGGGATAATCTGAAGGGTGAAATAAATAAGGAAATAAAAACTGAGCGGAATACAGAAACAATTTGGATAGAATTAATCGATGGTAGGGAAAAATTAATCACAGGAGTAATATATTGACCTCCCAATCTTGATAGAGTCAATGAGCGATTTATCTGGGATGAAATGAGCAGGGCTTCCATCACAACAAAGTCTGTATAGTAGGCGACTTTAACCTTGGCCAAATAGATTAGACTATCCTTACAGGTAACTCAGAATCAGAAGATTTTCTCGAGACGATCCAGGACTGTTTTCTAAGTCAACATATAACCGAACCCACCCGGGGTAATAATATAGTCGATTTAGTTCTGTCAAACAGAGAAAACCTCATTAGCAATGTCGAGGTAGGGAACGAACTTGAAAACAGCGATCACAAAGAAATTAGATTCCAGTTAGATTTTCAGGGCAGACGTAAGGAAAATTCCACTAAAGTACCAGATTTTAGAAGGCAAACTTTGACAGTTTAAAGAGGCAGCTGAGAGAGGGGGTGTCGCGCCTGGCCGTGAACCTGACAGATGACACCGACCTGATAACGAGATCTGAGATTGCCGAGTTCCACGACAATTTAAATAGTGAGTTACTTAATGCACAAAGGCAGAACATACCGGGATTATTATAGGGAATATTATAGGGTATTGGCGAGTAGGGTTAAAACCGAGATAAGGAAAGCCAAGAGGAATAATGAGGTAAGGATAGCAAGGGAGGCGAAGACAAACCCCAAAGGATTCTACCAAATGTATCAAACTAAAACACGAGAAAAGATTAGACCAATACGGTCAGACACTGGCGAGCTCACTCATAACGGCAGAGAAATGAGCAATAATTTGAATAAATATTTTTCAACAGTTTTCACCACCGAAAATTTAAACATGATACCCGGGGCACCGACTTTACTCAGAGATAGTGAAGAAAACAAATTAAGCGAGATAGTAGTGACTAGTAACGATGTTAGTAAGCAAATAGACAAACTAAAGCCTAATAAGTCACCAGGTCCCGATGAGATATTTGCCAGAGTATTAAAGGAATGTAAGGAAGAGCTTAGTATGCTCTTAGCAAAGTTGTTTAACATGTCCTTAAAAACAGGTGTAGTACCAGAATCCTGGAGGATATCGAATGTAATACCGATTTTCAAGAAGGGGGATAGATCACTATCCTCTAACTACTGCCCAATCAGTCTAACAACAATAGTAGGCAAATTACTGGAAGCAATCATTTCAAACTCTATTCGAAATCACCTGCAGAAGCACAGATTGATCAATGATTCCCAGCATGGCTTCACAAGTGGACGTTCATGTCTAACTAATCCATTAACATTCTTTTCATCAGTTTTCGAATCGGTGGACGAGGGGCACAATTATGATGTGGTATATCTCGACTTTAGCAAAGCCTTCGACAGAGTCCCCCACGAAAGACTAATTAGAAAGGTAGAAGCACATGGCATCAAATGTAATATCCTTAAATGGATTAGGGCGTGGTTACAGGACAGGAAACAGCGAGTGAGCATTAATTGCACTAAGTCCCATTGGAGCAATATCACAAGTGGAGTTCCACAAGGCTCAGTACTTGGACCATTATTATTTATTATATACATAAACGACATAGATATCGGCATAGACAGCAACATAAGCAAATTTGTTGATGACACTAAAATAGGACGTGTTATCAAATCTGACGAGGACTCCACAAAACTACAGGAAGATCTAAACAAATTTTTTGAATGGTCTGAAAAATGGCAGATGAAATTCAACGTGGACAAATGTAAAGTACTCAGTATAGGAGATGTAAACAGGGAAACCAGACATCAGATGAACAATGATGCCATAGAGAAATCCGACTGCGAGAGATTTAGGAGTAATGATAAGTAGGAACCTTAAGCCAAGTAAACAATGTGTTTTTGCTCGTAACAAGGCTAATAAAGTACTTGGGTTCATACAAAGGAGTGTTAGTTACAAGACTAGCGAGGTCATCCTAAAACTGTATCTTGCTCTTGTGAGACCACACCTGGATTACGCCAGTTCAGTTCTGGTCACCGTATTACAGAATGGATATAGAATCCTTGGAAAGAATTCAGAGGAGAATGACAAGACTAATCCCGGGCATTAGGAACCTTGAGTATAGAGACAGGTTAAAGCATTTTTATTTGCACTCCCTCGAGAGACGTAGAGCGAGGGGCGACCTGATAGACGTGTATAAGTGGAAGGCAGGGCTAAACAAAGGGGACATTACAAAGGTACTCAAACTATCCAACCAGGAGCGAACTTGTAACAATGGCTTTAAATTAGACAAATTTAGATTTAGGCGTGAAATAGGTAAACACTGGTTTGGAAACAGAGTAGTGGATGAATGGAACAAGTTACCAAATATCATCATTAACTCGAATACGCTGAATAGCTTCAAACATAGGTTGGGTGCTTATATGAGCAATAGGGGTTGGGTGTAAACGGGACTGCCCAGTATGGGCCAATAGGCCCACTGCAGTTTCCTCCATTCTTATGTTCTTATGTTCTTATGACCATGTGAGGTCCTTCATATCAACACCCGAGGACGAGTTACTGCACCACGTGAACACCACACCACCCAGTGTCTCCATGACCACGTGAGGTCTTTCATATCAACACCCGAGGACGAGTTACTGCACCACGTGAACACCACACCACCCAGTGTCTCTAGGACCACGTGAGGTCCTTCATATCAACTCCTGAGGACGAGTTAATGCACCAGGTGAGCACCACACCACCCAGTGTCTCCATGACCGCGTGAGGTCCTTCATATCAACACCTGAGGACGAGTTAATGCACCAGGTGAGCACCACACCACCCAGTGTCTCCATGACCACGTGCAGTCCTTCATATCAACACCCGAGGACGAGTTACTACACCAGGTGAATACCACAGTAACTGGTATCTCCATGACCACGTTAGGTCCTTCATATCAACATCCGAGGACGAGTTACTATACCACGAGAACACCACACCACCTCGTGTTTCCATGACCAGCCCAGGCCCGGGCCATCAACTGTAAACTATAATAATTTGTATGTTCAATCATTGTTCCTTCTCCTTTCAGTAATGAAAGCTGTTGTTCTACGACCCACCCACCCCATGTCTTTGTATGTAACAAGTCATTTTTGTCCATTGTATATTTTCAACCTTCGGGCTGCCGACTTTTTCAATAAACCGTTAATTATTATTATTTATTATTATTACACACACACACACACACACACACACACACACATGCACGCACGCACGCAAGCGCACGAACTCTCTCTCTCTCTCTCTCTCTCTCTCTCTTTGGCGTTGAAGTTCTTACCTTCAATAGTCCTGACCTCCACGTTGGCACCAGCAGTGAGCAGTGCCTTCATTACAAGGTCATGACCCAAATTTATCGCCCAGTGTAAAGGCCTGAGGGAGACCTTCCGAGAACCGTCAACCGGGACTCCTGCTGCTACAAGGTGAGGTACCAGGTGGGCGTGGTCTCTCAGGGTCGCTTGGGTCAACAGGCAGTGTGGCTCATTGATAGTTTTACTCCAGGCACTGATGTTGGGGTCAGCACCAAGAGCGAAGGTGACCAACACCATCACCACGTCACCATGATAAACTGCCCTCACAAGAATCTGCAAGACCATGACATAGCATAACATGAGAATGTAAGAGAGTATAGTGAGAGTGGAGTGGGAGGAAAGAGAAGAGAGTGGGAATATAACACCTCCACCATAGGTTGCACCATCACCACCATTAATGTCCTCATCCCCCACTACCGTCACTACCATCTGCTAATATCACTATTAATATCCTCTACCACCATCAAAAACGCCATCACTACAGAGAACATCCAAAATTTCCATCTTAACTCGTATCCACCTTTACGACAACCACCAACAATCATCTCTACGACAGTAATCATGCATAGAAAAATGAAAAACCCTGTCCAACACCACCATTCAACCATTAACTTGTTGTATCTCCGCCACCACCAATATGCTGACACTATTATGAGCATCACCTTGCAAAGGCAACACTGTCTATCTATACCAACTAATACCCTTTATACCCACCATCACCCTCCATACCCATCACCACTCTCCATACCCACCATCACGCTTCATACCCCCCACCACCCGCCATACACACTATCACAATACATACCCACCACCAACACCCTCCATTCCCACCACCGCCGTCCATACCCACCACTGCTCTCCATCCCCACCACCGCCGTCCATACCCACTACTGCCCTCAATCCCCACCACCACCGTCTATACCCACTACTGCCCTCAAACCCCAATACTGCCCTCCATACCCACCACTGCCCTCCATACTTACCACCACCCTCCATACCCACTACCACCCTCCATACCCATCACCACACTCTATATTCACCACCACCACCCTCCATACCCATCACCATCCTCCATACTCAACACCACGCTCCATACTCAACACCACGCTCCATACCCACCACCACCCTGGACTGTCACATGTCCAGTTGATGACTACTCACGGCTCATAGGAAAGTTACCGTGGGTGATGAAATTATATAAACCTAATGTATGTAACCCACATTTATATAAGTATTACTGTCTGTTAGACAGGGGCTAATACATTGGTCGGCCACCACCCTCTGAGTTCGATGAGAATTAAACTAACCACGTAGTATAACTTAATAATACCTATGGATGCCTATTCATGTTATAAAAGATATAATGTGTTGTAGCTAAACTGAGGAATTTACAACCAGGATTTGAGAGTCTGAATTCCTACCTTTAAATGCCTTATATGTCAGGCCTGTAATAGTTACAATTGAAACTTTTGAAGAGACATGTCTTTAATATCAAAACCTACATAAAATTGATCAAATGAGACTGAAAGTTGGTACAACAAAACTGGGAATCAAAAAAACCTAAGGAAAAATATCTTCAAATGAATGGGGTTTGTGTTTCATTGAGATAAGTAAATAATGTTAAATTGTCAGAAACTAATTTGAGTTAACTGGGAGCAATGTTAACATTTAAAGAATAAAAATATCAGATCTAAAGTTAAAATCAAATTAAAGGCATAAAAAAACAGATGATAGGTTGACCAGGTATGACAGCACTAATGGTGAGTTCACAATAGCCTGAAGCCATATAATAAAATAATAACCTTGAACTACGAAGTGCTTACCACCATCCTGGTATAGTAAAATGGTAATGGGTTGGTTAAGAAAAAAACCCACACGTTATGAAGATGTGCATATTCCTTCTGCAGCAAGAATAAACGTGAATGCGTAGGCTGGACACACATACAGATAAAGATATGACGAGTAACCCTTTGACGTCACCTTAGGAATAGCATTTGCTAAAACAAATGAAAAGTGATCAGGCACTACTGATGTTCAGTTTGTTTATATAATCCGTCAGCTGGTAAGTCAAAGTCCTTGACTATGTAACTGTAAGGGCGGAAACGATCCTCCGGCTAGTTACCGTTGCTAACTCGCTCGTTTGCTGGTGCAGACGACACTTGGGGTGGTTGGACGGAGGTGAGAACGGCAGCGACTATCACCGCCGCCGGCAGATTCAACCCAGCCGCCATACCGTCAGTATCTAGCTACCCTGCTGTCCGTCAAATTCTGGCTGTGATCTCATCATAGGTCCTGGACTCGTGGGCTGTGTTCCCAGACCTTCACCTATCAACTGCCAACTCTCTGGTCATCTACCACTACCGCATACCACGACCATCAGTTCATCACATTCCGTCGGTGCCCCGGTGTTCTCCTGCCTTTTCAAGACGTTGCTGAGTGTGGAGCGAAGTGGACGCTTCCCTGCCCTGAGTGTGCATCACCGCGTTCCAGAACCTTCCCCCAGGGCCACTGCCGTAGGAAATATTTGTTCATTGTTTGATTCCATTAATTGCTGACTCCCCTTTATTGTTCGATTCTATCAATTGTTGACTCCATTTAATTGTTTGATTCAATTAATTGCCGACTCCCATTATTTGTTTGATTCCTTTAATTGTTGCTTCCATTAATTGTTTGACTCCCGTAATTATTTGATGATTGTTGAGTGGTGTCAGAGTTTTGTTATATTTTTATAGTAAAGAGATGCCAATCTCGAACGGTTGTTTGTTATTCCTCGGAAAACCATGGTCCTTGACTTTCCTTTTATTAAGATCCTGATTAGCCTGGTAAGGGATTTCTATCCTTAAGTCCTAGGCCTTTACAAGTGGCGACCTTGCCAGGATTGTCTCTGACCTTTGGTTTCTGAGGTTTAACATTCGTTCCGGTGTTGTTGTAAGTCGCCGTGAGCGCGCCACCTTGCTGTCTGTGGCCCGGAAGCAAGTGTTGTTCAGTGGTTATCCCTTCCTTCTGTGTGCTAATTTTGTTGCTCTCCCTTGTAGTTGGGAAGTTAATTAGTGTTGGTTGGGGTGCACTGTGGATGCTGTCATAGCATTTATGTTGTTGTTTCACCTGGTGCGGTTACGTTACCCTGAGGTGATTCAGCTGGGCTGGGTGCGGAACGAGGTTCCCTCCAGTCGGATCAAATCATTTACTGGTCTGATTGAGCCACTAGGTGAGTTACCTTTGGCTATTTGCGGGGTAAGTTGTTTGTTTTTCTCCTTTGTTCTTGGCCTTTTGGATCATTATGTCTACTTTTGAGGTGTGGAAAGATCAAGCGGTGGCCCTGGGTCTGACAGGTAATGACATTGGTCAGTATGTGGTCACCCAACAGAATGCCGAGAGAGGAACGTCAGAAAGAGAGAGAGGAACGCCAGAGAGAAAGAGAGTTGGAGGAACGTGAGAAAGAAAGAGAGTTCGAATTAGCTAAGTTGCAGGCAGAAAAGGACCTAGAACTGGCTAGGATTAATGCTTCAAGTAGACCAGCCTCCTCTGGCCATATACACGACAATGTGGTAAAACCCAGCTTGCCTGTGTACCGTGAAGGAGAAGACATCGCCTCCTACCTTGTTAGGTTTGAGCGGGTAGCTGAGCTGCTTGGTGTAGCCCCAGATAGCTATGCTGTAAGGTTGGGTAGCCTACTGAGTGGTAAGCCGGTAGAAATTTACACGTCCCTGTCTGCCGACATCACCCGAGATTACTTCTTGTTGAAGCAAGCTCTCTTGCGAGGATTTTGCAAGACTTCTGACGGTTATCGTGCTGATTTTCGCAGAACGAAGATTAGAGTGGGAGAAACGTACCAGCAGTTTTCGATTCACCTGGGTCGTTTGTTTCAACAATGGCTGGAGACATCAGGGGTTGAAGAAACCTTTGAGTCTCTCTCTAACTTCATGATATTAGATCAGTTTTTGTCTTCTCTACCTCCAGACTTGAGAATTTTCATCAAAGAACACCAGCCAGCGACGCTTGGAGAAGCTGTGCATCTTGCCGACAACTGGGCGTCTGCTCGCAACGCCTACCCCAAGTCTTCCCCTCCTGTAGTGAAGATTGCGAAGCCTCCATCCTCCGAGGAACCATCCCCAGGAGTACACAAGAGTAGTTCACCAGCCGTGCGGTGTCACAGCTGCGGAGAAGGGCACATTCATTCTCGCTGTCCCAGGAATCCCCTCGCCTTCAAGACTGCTGACACTCATCAACCCAGCAACAAGGTCGGATTCTGCTTGGAGGACAGGAGCTGCCCCCGTTATTGTGTCAGTGGAACAATCAATGGGTCTAGGGCATCTACTTTCATCAGGGACACTGGTTGCTCGTGCATTATTGTCTCTGAAGAAGCCCTGCCTGACGCTGACATCTCCAGCTGCCCGAAGGTTAGTGTCGCCGATTATTTAGGTCGTGTTGACCAGTTCCCTGTTGTTAGGTGCTACCTGCGTTGCCCCTATTTCACTGGTTGGTCTAATGTGGTAAGAGCTCCCATTAAATGTGCAAGTGCCCTCATTGGTAATGTTCCCGGTGTTCGTGACCCTAACGACCCGGAAACGTTAAAACTCTCCTCGCCACCAGTCTCCTCACCACCAGCACCAGTCCTCACGCCACCTGCTGATGACGACTCGCCACCTGCCGAGGTCGCCTCGCCACCCTCTCACGCCGCCACGCCTGCCGCCAAGGTCCAAGCTGTAGGGCCACGGACGGCGAAGGTGAAACGACCGCATCCCCTGATTCTGCCGAATTTGTTGCCACTGACTGTGACGCCCAAGGAGTTCGCCAAGCTTCAAGACTCGTGTGCCACTCTGAAGCGGGTAAGAGAGAAGGTGACTTCCGGGGAGGAGGATCAGGTGAGAGATGGGTCGGTTTATAAGTTTGTTTCTATTAATGGGGTGTTACACAGGTCTTGTGTTTCATCCAAGCGACCAGCTAAAGTAGGTCGGTTTTTACTTGTTGTCCCTGATGTTTGTCGTAGTAACATTCTCTCTGTAGCTCACAAGAGCTCTCTTGTAAGTCACTGTTCTCGTAGGAAAACTTATAGGAAGGTTGCTGATCAGTTTTACTGGCCAGGTATGGGAGCGGATATTAGAGCTTTTTGTAGGAGTTGTGATCAGTGCCCACGTATGTCCGCCAAGGGTAGAGTCCGTCCTGTTCCACTTGAACCCTTACCCGTCGTTGCAGAACCATCTTCTCGGGTAGCCATAGATTTTGTTGGACGATTCTCACCCCCTTCCTCTAAGAAGCCTAAATTACATCAA